ACGGATAACCTTTAACAGTGAGGGCCAATCATCCTATATGAGCCAATAACTTAAAAATCATAAAAGGACTTATTTGAGAGAGAATATTGAAAGATCAAATAGTAGTCAGCAGAGAGCTGGGCATTTCAGAATCTCTTCTGGTATTTCGAAACCCCGACACGTGTTTGTATTCATAATCAATGATGCGAATATCGATGCCCAGACGGCTAATCCATTCTTGTACAACACATTCTCTATATCAACTGACCCAAGAACCTTATCCAATTGTCACCTGGAAGTTGGTAACAGACATGAATACCCCGAAATACATTACACACCAAGTACTGATATGACTAGAGTCTTTAGGGATGTGTTGAAATATGTTCACAAAAATAATGAATACGGTGAAGGGTCATTACTCAATAAATCTAATTTTAGTACGCTATTTCCCTTCCTATATTTCGACCTAACAAAACAGAAAATGGACATTAAGGATGGCACTACAAAACTGACATTTAAATATGAGCTATGTGGAACAACGGCAACAGCCTACTCAATTTACGCATTAACATTATACGAACAGGATGTTGAGCTAATTCAGAAAGATGGTAGAATAATACTCAGATCGTAAATTATGGGACCACCCATCATGTAACCGTAAATTATGTAACGTATATTATATATAAGCAATGACGAAATATTATCCTTATGGTGTGTCACTTAGTAAAGGACAATTGGAAAAGCTTTCGAGAGCTTACAATAATAAATCAGCAATAACTATCAGACTAGCTAGAAATGAGTTATCCGGCCCACATGAATTAATGCTCACAAAATCTGAGATCAATAAACTGAAAAAGGCAACGAACCAGGGTAGAGGGTCGGATATCAAAATATGAAAAACACAAATCAGAAAGGCTGTTAGACAGGGCGGTAGTTTGTGGGGATCATTAGCCAGGTTACTTCCTATGGCCATGCCAATAGTCAAAAAGGCTGCCGCTCCACTTGTAACTGGAGCGTTGTCAGGATTAGCCAGTTTAGGTGTGGATAAGATATTCGGGAAAGGTCAACGAGGAGGATAGCTTATTCCAATGGACAAAATAGCACATTTGGTTGCATACAAACATTTACTGAACACAGGTCAGAAAAAGGATATTTTTAAGAGTCTCCAAACTGGTAACGGATTAGTTATCAGACCGACGAAAACACAGCAGGGTGGTTTTTTACGAACTCTATTAGCGAGTATAGGTGTCCCCCTGTTACTAAATGCATTGACGGGAAAAGGGCTGCAGGCTGACAGAACCGGTTCCGCTAATACAACATCTGTTTATGTTCCCGATACAACTAATGGCCACGGAATGTATAATCCATATCCCTACATGTCATCACCCTTTTTTGGAACATGGGAAAACCCCACTGGTGCGGGAGTAAAAAAAAAAAGAAAGGGAAAGGGACTGTGTGCTCGGAAAAAACAGTCCATTCAATTCAATCCCAATTCTAGGAACAATACTGTAAGATTCATAAACAAACCATTATCGAACATTGATTTGTCACAATGGGTTACACAATTAGGAATAAAGTATTTCAGGGGTATCTACAGCCGTAATAATTTACCACAAAAAATACACAAATTGGAAACAGGAATAATTAATTTGGATGATTCAATGGGCGGGGGCAGTCATTGGGTCTGTTATAGAAACGTGGATAAGCAATATTGTGAGTATTTTGATCCATTCGGATTAATCATGCCCAATGAAATCAAAAATTATCTGAAAACAAGCGGTAAAAAAATGGTGTACTCATCAGATGAAATACAAGAAAGGGACAGTGTTTTGTGCGGTTATTGGTGCTTATATTATCTTCTAGAGCGACAGAAAGGGAAATCATTATTAGACGTTATACACAACCCCAAATTCAGTTTCACAAATCAAATGATAAATCACCAATTTCTGATAAACTATTTTATGTAACACTATTATATGACTGAAAAGTTTTGTGTTTATTGCCAAGAAGTTACTCCACATTATGTGAATCAATATGGATGTTTCGAGTGCTGCAACTGTGAGCCTTTGAGTGAGAGTGATTATGAGTCAAATAGCAGCCATGAAACTTATGTTCCAGATAGTGATTAGACAATAATTATATAACATAAATATATAATAATGGTGAAATCTTATTGTGTTAAACAGAAGATGCCAACAGAATGTGTAGAACCTTCGGGTTACAAAACTGCCAAGAACGGTAGACTTATGTTTTGGTGCACTTGTGCTGAATGTGGAATAAAAAAGTTTAAGTTTGTCAAGAAGGGAAACTAGGTCAGCCTGTCCTAGGGGTAGGCGTAATAGACACAGTAGCTGGTACTGCTCTTTATGCGTTTGTACATCACGGGCTTCCTTGGATGGGTAAAAAAGCAGTTGAGATGGGGAGATATTACGGGTCCGAAGCTCTCAGAAACCCTAAATTACAGAAAAAAGCTATAGATTATGCTTTGGACAAATTAAATCCAAAGATCCAGAATGTCGGTTGTCAAGCTCTTAACCAATTATCAACCAAAATACGACCAAAGAAAAACTACAAAACCAACAGGAAAGATTTGGATGGTGGTGCTATAGATATCCACAAGCAGATTGGTAAATTACCAAAACCCGCAGGCGGATGGACCTTACCAGGGCATAAATATACAGGCCCCTACAACGATCTCGAAAATCAAGTAAGATACAATCCAGAAACTGGTGAAATATTAGAAATTTATGATCAACCAACTGGGCCAACCGATGCCGTGGCCATGCAACATGATGTTGATTATAGTGTTTGTGGTGATAACCGAAAGTGCAAAAATAAAGCTGACCGTAAAATGGTAAAATCGTTAGACGCCATTCCTTATAATGAACGACAATGGGGACACTGGTTAGCTAGAAATATTATAAACACAAAACAGAAACTCGGTCTTGGTTTAAACTAGAAAAGCCGTCGGGTATCAGTTGGAAACAGCAATTAGCGGATAAATTACATAAACCAATAAAACGCAACTTTACTCGGCGGCGTGTTATTACAACCGGTATTGACAAAATTTGGTGCTCAGATCTGGTTGAGATGCAACAGTTCAGCAAATGGAACAAAGGTTATAGATATCTTCTCATGGTATTAGATCTATTCTCCAAATATGGCTGGATTGTACCATTAAAGGATAAGAAAGGGGAAACTGTCACAGAAGCATTCAAAACCATATTCAAAGAGGGCCGTAAACCACAATATCTTTGGACTGATAAGGGGAAAGAATATTATAATAAAAATATGAAAGAACTGTTGGAAAAGAATGGTATAACACTATATTCAACCGAGAATGAGGAAAAATCTAGTGTGTGTGAAAGATGGAACGGTACAATTAAAACCAAAATGTGGAAGCAGTTTACTGTCCAGGGTAATACCAAATATCTTGACATACTACCAAAAATATTGAAGCAGTATAATAACACCAAACACAGTTCCATTAAAATGACACCTGTAGAAGCTACTAAAAAGAAGAATGAAAATGCCGTATATTATAATCTGTATGGTGATATGGAGCAATCATCATCTAAACCCAAATTCAAGATTGGCGATAAAGTTAGGATAAGTAAGTACAAGAGAAAGGTGTTTGATAAAGGGTACACACCTAATTGGACAGAAGAGATATTCCTGATTGATAAAATCCAATCCACAAACCCCATCACATACAGATTAAAAGATCTCAATAATGAGGAAATACAAGGCAGCTTTTATGAACCAGAATTACTACCAGCAAAACAGGATGTATTTCGCATTGAAAAGGTCATTCGGAGGGATTATAAGAAGAAACAAGCTCTGGTAAAATGGTTGGGCTATAGTGACGACTTTAATTCTTGGATCCCACTAAGCAACCTGCAAGAATTATCTAACTAATAGTATATATGGACGATCATATAAGAAAGCTTGATACTAAAATCCAGAGTAAGGAAACTGAGCTTAATGCACTATTCACTAAAATCCAAAAATTGGAAGAAGAAATTGCGACATTATACCACAAGAAATTAATCTCCAAAAAACTGGAATCAGCTGAGATGACATTAACAGGCGTTTTAGGTGCCATCTTTGAAACGGAGGAAGAGGAGGAAGAGAAAGAGTAAATTGCCAGGGGCCCCATTTTGGGTCCGCTGGGTCCAAAGTGTTGCCGTACCCAAAACGGAGCGTCAACAAAACACCCTAAATGTTGCCCTGTCGTCTAGACGGGTCAACAAAATACCTCAATTGTTGGCGTGGACGCTTCGCCCCCTCAATAAAATGACACTAGAGGAAAATAAATTGCGGTAGTTTTGTTGGGGTGGTAAAACGCCACCTCAGGTCTAATGTGCTGAAACGGCACCTCAGGCCTAGCAAACTTTTTAATCGATCATTCTTTTCATATAATATGGTCTGAATGATAGTAATATTTATGTAATCTATATATATGAAAAGAATGATTGAAAAAAAGTTTGTTAATGACGATTTAGAAATTGAGCTGACATCATTTATTGATGATAAGCAAAATGTTTGGTTCAAGGGTAAGAATGTTGCCCGGATCCTCGGTTATAGTGACACTGATAAGGCTATAAGAAATCACGTATCAGAAGAAAAAAAAATATCACAACTTGTATGGCCAAAATGTTCCCCCGCCAACTCGGCGGGTCAACGAAATGACGTGAGAGGTAAATGGTGTATGTTCATAAATGAAGCTGGTTTTTATGAACTTGTGTTTAGTTCCAAATTAGAGTTTGCTAAAAGATTCCGTCAATGGGTATGTACTACAGTCCTCCCATCTATTCGTAAATATGGCCAATACAAACTATTTGATAGTCCCTGGAATAAGATGATCATGATTGGCAATGAGACTGACCTCCATTATAAAGTAGTGAGCCTCATAAGGAAATATTATCCAGATTCTATATTAGTAGCAGGACTGGGTGACAATCAGGATATTGATGACAAACGCCTCGATTCGTATAAGAAAGGATATATGGGAGGACAGCCTGATCTAATGGTACTCGATTATCACAAAGATTATAAAGGCCTCTGTATTGAATTCAAATCACCGACCAATAATTATCATGTAAGTAAAGCACAATATGAGTTGATGGAAAAATACAATAATAATGCCTATAAATTTATCCTGAGTAACGACTATGATGAAATCTGTATAGAAGTACTTGATTATATGAAAGGTGTCAGACTGCCGTGTAAATATTGTATCAAACACTTCTATAATAATGACACCCTTACTACCCATTACAGAGTCATCCACAAATTATACAACTAATTAGTATATGAATGCTGACCAATTATTAGACAACTATAATGAACTCCAAAAGATAGAATTACGAAAAAATCTGAATACATATACACTCAAAGAGCTCAAAAAAGAAATCATCAAAATGAAAGCTGATAAGTTTCGACAATGTTTTTACTTTTCTGCTGTCTAATAACTTAATTAACATGTCATAGTAATAGAAAAAGGAGTAAATAACTGTTTTGTAGGTTCCAAAGGTACCAAACGAAAACCCAATAGTACTAAGGGTAATAAACAAAAACCCAACTTACCACAGTTAACACATATGCCTAATTATTCAACAAATTCTATGGCGCCATCTAACACACAATTACCACCATTAACACAGAAACATCTTGAAAATTTATACAACTAACTAACTAACTAATCACGACTTTGATATCCCGTTCCACAACCACATGAGCAAACACCTCCATGGTTATTAATTGTCATCAATTATTTCATCAACTTGAGGGTCATATATATTTCCATTTTCTCGTAATACCGAATCCTGTACTCCAAAATTTATGTTTGGATTGTAATATTCTGTACGTTCAAATTCTCTGTTTGATCTTTCCCAATTTTCTTCTTGGGCACTTATTACTGGATCATAATCGTATTCTCCAACTGGTCCCCAAAATAATTCATTATATTCTTCTTCTGAAATTCCAGTTTCCATTCGGGCCTCAATATAGTTTGGCAAAAAATACTGTGTCTTAAACTTTTTCAATGGCTTCAATTTAATTTCTGGATTAGGAGAATATTCCGGTGGAGGAAGATAAGAAGCCAAATATTCCGGCGGATCATCTGTATACTCAAATATTTCATCTGCGTCATATGGTGGGGGTGAAATATTCTCTGTATTTATTATTCCTTGATATTTAACTGTTTCCTGGATTAATTCGCGTTCACTAACTTTAACTTCATCAATATACTCAAAATTTAACTTCTCAATTGGTTCTGTAATTACTTCCTGTTCGCAAATCGCCGCAGAATATAATTTACGGGAATATTCCGGTTTTTGAACTGACAAGATTTCCTTTCCTTTGACAATAAATTCGGCTTCATTAATTTTGACCTGAACAACAGTATCCCGCGAAAGATTAACAATAACTTCTGTACCATAATGATTCAAATTAACTGAACTCTGACTTTGACTTTGACTTTGACTCTGAACTCGACTCATGCTCATTATACTATATTAAGATCATTTCTCTATAAATAGTTATCGTTTTGTCCAATTAATTAGCAAAAAATAACCAGTCTGAACCGGTTCAGAAATGCTGACATCAGCAAGAATCCCAAAATCTGTAATGGGTGTGAAAAACGGGTACCACAGCCATCGTAGTCTCGGTCGGTCGGTCACGTGATTACCAAATTTTCTGGGATGCGTAGATTTATTTACCTATGGTGCTTCGCTGGCGCGCTTCGTGCGCGGAGCTCCGCTATTATAATTTACGAAACTCTGGTCTTCCAATACTACGCACTCCGGTAAGCTTTCTAATTGATTACTGGTACACAGCAATCATGTAAACCATTCAGGTAAGTGTAGTCTTTATATACTTTTTACTTCACTTTACCTTTTTTATCGGGTCATCGAAGATAACATTCTACAAGACCTGTACGTATTGCCAAAATTCTGATCATTACGTGAAAAGTTCAAAGACTTTTGCCTCCAAAAATTTTGAGCGCTTTATCAACTAGATGATTTTGCTGACTTTTCGTGGAATTATTGCGTTTGTAAGGTAAAACTGCTATTAAACCAGCAAATCAAGAACCCACACACCTGCCATGGTAGCGGCCATTTTGGATTTTACTGCAACATGTTGACTTTTTTAAATATCCCTCGATATGAGCTAAAAAACATACATTCAATTTCTATCGAACCATCGAAGATAACATTCTAGAAGATCTGTAAGTATTTCCAAAATTCTGCTTATTGATTCTGCTCATGATTTTGCTGACTTTCTGTGAAATTATTGCTTTTTGCACGGTAAAACGGCTATTAAACCAGCAAGTCAAGAACCCACTCACCTGTTTTTGTAGCCACCATTTTGGATTTTACCCATAATGCAATTCGAAGGCTACTTTAAGTTTCTTCGCTCTACTTTGGTTAAATTCAGAACAAATGACAATATTTTGGCGATAAAAAACACAAGAAAAATCTTCTTATGCATCTCTCATAATAAATTAATCTTCAAAAGATTTATATATTTGGTGCACACCTAGTTGGCCCCGTCGTCATTTCCGACACTACACCATGAAAAAATACCTTGAAAGCTACTCTAACAGAAAGGTTATCATAGAAATTTTTAATCTCCACCTTACGTGTTATCAATTTGCAGCAATTTTCCTTTGTCCCTCGAATTGGAACCAAAATCAGAATTGGCCCATGGACTATGAGGAGGATGAGAGTACGCATGTGGATGAGATTGAGGATAAGGAAGATAATAAGAATGAGGATGAGGCTGATAATGAAGACGAGGATTAATTTGAGGACGACGAAGACTATAAGGATACAGATGAGGATTTTGATGAGGATGATGATAAGGATAAGGATGAGGATGAGAATGAATATGAAGATTAGGATGAGGATGAAGACGAGAATTGAAATCAGGATGAAGATGTGGAAGAGATTGAGGATAAAGAAGATTGAGGATAAAGAAGATAATGAGAATGAGGATGTGGATGAAAATGAGAATGAGAATGAAGATAGGAATGAGGATGAGAATGGCGATGAGGATGGGGGTGTGGATGACGATCAAGATGGGGATGAGGATGATCATGTGGATAAGGATGACGATGAGGATGGAGATAAGGATAAAAATGAGAATGAGAATGAGGTTGAGGGTGAGGGTGAGGATAAGGTCACATCGCGGTCAAACGTCTGAGCATGCGCGAGGAATTGCGTGGGCTTTCGCTACATTCGATTTGGAAAAGCTAGATACATGTGGCTACGTCTTCTTGCGGGCAAGAACAGGGAAAGAAAAAAGAAAGTTCATTGGCGATGAATAGGAAGAATAAGAGGAACGTATAATATGAAATGTAAGTATGAGTAAACTTCCCTTTGCCAATCATATAATATTCCCCAATATTCAATATTCAATATTCAAGTAGTCAATATAGTCAATATTCCCCAACTGCTCGTATGCTGTTGCTGATCAATGACGGCTCGCATTCGTGGCCGCTGAAAGTATAAGCTCAAGTTAAAATAATTTAAATTATGTTTAAGCTTTCTGTAATACTTTTATACTGACACTGGCTTGAACGTAGTTTTAATAGTTGGCATTTTTATTTAGTACAAATCATATCTTTTGGGCTCTGGTTCGTTCTGCAAAATAAAAAATTTAGTAAATTGTCTGGTTGTTTTTTTCGTTGAAACTGTTCTTTTATGACTGACGACCTTAATTATAGGCTTGCTATTATCTAATTCACATCAAATACATTATCTCGCTCAGGGCTTAAGCCTCTATTAATAACAAACAAAATGTATCGATAATAAATGATAATTATTTTAAATCTTATTCATAAAATTCAATGACCACATCGCATGAGTTCAGTAAACATAATCAAGCTCAAAAAAGATGCATGAACATCTATGGTCTCAATGTTATTTATTGTTATTAGGCCAGGCACATTGTGAGAGGAAAAAGGTTTTATTTTTTAGCAGAAGTTTAATAACCACACATAAGTTCAATAATCACAGCAGCATAAGTCTATTTTTGACTGCTTGACATTGCACAATTGACCAGACATCAGTGTACAGCTGTACATGCTGTCATTTCATTACTATTGCTTATTCTTCATGTTTGCCCACATTCATGACTAGGGTTTTTTTTTCATTAAGCTGTCCATCCAATGCTTGCAGCTTGGTCCTAGTTTTACAGTTTAAATTACTAGGAAGGGGGTGGTAATTGAGATCTCAGTTGTACAACCTTCTATGTTGATTTAAATGCCATGGTGTTTAATGATCTTGTATGCATCTTTAAAGTGGGCCAAATAATATAATTTAAAGATTATTGTGGGTTGCTAGATGCTCATATAGCATTAAAAGGAAAGGCACTTGGTATTTAGTGTTGTTTTTATTATAACAATTTGACAACTTACTATTTATGTGATTAAATCTATCTTATTTTTGTACAGATAGTTAGGAAAGGGATGAATAGAAGACACAGAGTCTAGACCCTAAAGGAGAAGCAGATAGATGAGAAAAGGATGCAAAACGAGAAGAAAGAATGGAAATGATGTATATAAAGAACACCTAATTTAACTGAAAAGACAAATAAAGGTTCCACTCAATTTTATTTGCATTTTTGTCTTCTTTCTTACACTTTTTTAGACTGTCTTTTAGAAAATCTTGCTAGCCAAGTGGTCTAACTGACCAGCCATCATTTGGAGATGGGCAGCTATCCTCTCAAGGCTTTGTTACATGTTTATTATTATCATTTTTTCTGCTTTTTGTTGAAGTCTTCTTTCTTTATCTTTGATCATCTCTCTGACTTAAACAAGGTGCATTATATTATTATGGTCTAAGTGAAAAAGTTGAATTCTGTTTTTTCTCTTTTGTTTCAATCGCAAATAGTACACCCCTTAATACTTCCATTTCTTTTTCTGACAACTGAAAACAGGGATGACCCCAAACAGTTTTTCGAAGATCACTTGTAGTTAATTGCTTCTGGCCAACTCATCATTAAAATGCAAAGCACACTACATTTTTAGCAAAATGTTGAAAGCCTTGGCTCAGCTAATCAGGTTCTCAAAAGGCAGTCAAG